GTCAGCTGATGATCTTAAACTGCGAGTTGGAATGTACAGTCTTAACAGATTTGATAAATATGATGGTGCATTATCATTCAAACAATAGTATTATGAATTCAGGACATTTTGTTTTCACTCACAACTCGGTGATACCGCCTCGGGTACAATTTTTTTGTTAATTATATGTATAAATTATGGGAAAGTTTTTCGTGTGTGGCCTCGTTTCTACCTGATTCTTTGTCTCACTTTGATTACCCTTTCAACCAAGCCAGCCCTAGCCCCAGCAAACAGCATAACCATGGCGTTCTCGCCCCCAACAAAGATCAACCGCCTCAGCGTTTTAGCTTTTAAAAGAGTTTTACGGCACTTACAACACAAATCGGTCTCATAATATAAGTGCCAAAGAGTAGAGAGAGGTGTTACTAAAGAGTAACACACAACGGAAAGAAAGAGGATAGAGATAAGAATTATACACGTAGATGTTTGGTAGGAAAGAAGGAGCAAACAACACCAGAGCACCCACCAACCACCCATCTCTGCGGCCTCTGAAATAGCGGACAATCGAGGTACTACGTTCCTACAACAGACAATGCCCAGAGACATAGGACAGTCCCGTAACAAACTTACCACTTATGGCGTTTCTGTCCACATTGGAGCCCCGAATCTTTGAGACGTACACAAGGCGATGAACAAGGTATTTCTGAAAGGAGAAACACAGAATGTTATGTCTTCTTCTTTGAGATCTTCTTTTCTTCTTCTTCGTCATCGTCATCGTCGTCGTCCTCCTCCTCTCCCCCCTTCTGCCCCTCTTCTTCCTCCTTATCCTGGTCCCAAACTACGTGAAAGATTTTCATCACAAAAACGCAAAGACCTTACATATTACAAAACTGCATCTCCCCTCGACGCTTAATGGCAACAGAGGAAGAAAAGATAGAAGTAAGTAAGTGCGCAGAGACTTCGGGAAAACGCCCAAAAAGAAACAGAGATCTTGTATAGCAGATGTCCCCACAGACTACAGACGCACATAGACGGTTCACCCATCCTCACTTTAAAGCATCCCGCCAGCCACCACGCAGCTCTCTAGAATACATTCTCTAGCATTCCTCACGACGAACTTCACGAGCAAGGAGGGTCTATCGTACTTTTCAGAGTCGCTACGGTTGAAACAAGAAAAATGGTTGGTCAGTGAACTGAATTGTAAAATATCTTTAAAAATCCCTCCACACGAACCCCACCCCACCCCCTTTTACCTCTCACAGCCAACCCGTGAGTGAGTCACTTCAGCATAATTAACAAAAAACAACGCGTTACTTCATAATCAAAGAACAAGTAAAGTCATTGGCCACGCGCGACATCCTAAACGCAATACTGTATGTCATGCAGAGCCTGTAAACGAGGATGACGTCACAAAACGCACCGCCACAGGAAACCGTGACGTGATCGTCCACCCACGTGACGTCACATAACCCCCTTATTACCATAGAGCCCGTAACATCATCAGCCACACAGGTGACGTCAAACAGGTCTTGTCCCGGCCAGTCAAACTGACGAGGTTTCCTTCTGCGCCGCGAGAGGCCGGCCTTCTTCCCTCTGCGCGCATGCACGACGCGCGCGACGGAACTGCTCACGCCCGTGTCCTTCCCGCCCGCCACCATCGCCGCCTCCTGGTCCGCCTGATCAGGAGACGAGTGATCTCCTGTGACGTCACACATACTGACACCACGTGCAGAAACAGTGTCGCCAAAAGCCCGCGGGTCCAGAGTTCGAGTCTCCGCGCGCGTCGTAGTGCGAGTCGTGTGATCAGAGTCTCTCCCTACTCGGCCGTTTGCTTCTAATCCAAAAGCTCCCTCCTCCTCCGCCTCTTAGCGTGTTACTCCACGGTTTGCTGTCCGACAGACGAACTGAGCAGGACAGCACCAATAATGTGACAGACACCGGACTTCAAGTGTGATGCGATCGAGAGGAAGAAGAAGAAGACACCCCGACAACACCTCTAATCTTCGGGGTTTTTAGTACGGCCTATTAGATTTGCGTCGCAAGCGCCGAAAAAAAAAGAACTTTTGATTTAAAATTAAGCAAAAACTAAAGCTCCATGCCATAGCCTGGTAGACCGCGAAACAGGACACACGGTCTCTCCGCCTGCCTATTTGAGCCGGTCTGGGCCACCCAACACTGGTGCTGGACGCTACTCGATAGGGTGGGGCAATCAGTCGCTTTAGAAAAATCCGGATGATATGTTAGTGCACCTCTTCGGCAAATGTGTTATGAACCGCTTCGGCAAATTAATGGGCCAGAACCTCTTCGACAAACGGGTTAAAACCATTTTAACAAATGGGTGCACCCACTTCGGCAAATGGATCAGGAAAGGAAGTGAAGAGTCTGAATTCGGATAATGTTTCATGGAAAATTATCAGGTTATCCGGAAAAAATTATCCGGATTCTGAACCCACAACTAACCGATGTCAGTACTCAGTATACTTGTTAACAGCGACCCACTTAGTAAGTACTACGATATTTTCCTCGCTTAGTCGATACTAAACGATACTCAAGTTTTGGTATGTTAAAATTTAAGAAACAAAATTATTTTAAACTAAAAAGCGTTGAAAAGGCTGTTGATCGAAAAACGAATGTTCGTGATAAACAAAGACATGCAACTTATTTTCAAG